ACAAATTCCAAATTAAACAAAGAAATCCTGGTTCTAACAGGCCATTAGACATACACGCTCTGTGGGTTGATAGATTGCATTAAAGGGTTGTAACGGCACTTCACACAGTCATAGTCACTTAACTCTGCACACCGTAGCTTTGCCGGGGAATATTTATGGACGGGACTTATAAAGAATCTTCTTTAGCAGGTGCAAAGACAGCCACACGGTTCTGTGTAAGTCCCCCATCCATCCTCTTCACAGCTGATAATCCGAGACGTGATTGTGTGGTGGGAGGTAAGTACATCAAGGCACCATCCGACCGTGTGACGCAGAGCTCTCAGGACGGAACTGATAGTTGTTACCTCTGTGGACGTATGATGGACGGGAAGACGAGCACCACGACTTAGCATCAACGCCCTGACGATAACTGCTGAAATTAAAGTGAGCAGAAACCGCCTCGAAAGCCTCTGGCTGTTACCCTGCGTTTGCACTCCCGTTTAACACTTTTTAGTTTCACCTTAAACTGCCTTTTCAAGAAAATTAGCTTGCGAAGGAACTTTGTAGTTGGTTGTAAAAAAAAAGAACGTTACTCTTCAATCATTCACCTATCTAATAAAAATTATTTACGGATAAAAGTTAGGTGTATAACTCTATGCTTGTTGTAACAAGTTACAAAGTATCATTAATAGTGACGTATCTAGATTTTGGAACCTTTTGAACAGGGGCTTTATAACAATATTGTACAATACGTAATATACATTCCGAGTAGTTTTATGTGAATTAGACCGATTTACTGTTAGTTCATCTCAGAGACATGTAGTTCAAAGTAAGTTGATTAACTCTCTGTAACAGTCTCAGAGTCGTTAGTATTCTGATATCAGGAGAGCTAATATGATAACATATAATAGTAAGGACACCATTGAGCAGTTCTAAATCTTCAGTAAATATTTGCCTTTTGTTTCATTTGACTAAAAGTGTTTGACGTTGGTTGACACCTGAATACATGTAATACCTTGCTTCCAAGCAAGATGAAAGTAGAATCAGGTGTATATATTTGTTTATGAATTACTATACTCGTATACTGGGAAGATGATAGTACATGTGCCAGTACGTGGAGCGCCTGCATTGCTCTCTCGACAGATGCGTATCTTCAAATGTATCCCAATGTCCATCTTATTGTCCTTTAACGTATACACCCACGGTAGATTCGCTACATGATAAATCGTTTACGAGATATAATTTTTTTCTGAACTCAATAGAAGAAAGTTAAAATGCTTGCTAGCTTCAAAGAACACTTTGAACTTTATCCACAGCATTCTTGTCCATCCCATAGCATTAGGCCACAGCAAGCAAATTTTATAGATGGCATCCTCCGCAGACTACAAATCTAATGTGATAGGGCGATAAAAAAACAGGCGGGCCAAAAAAAACCCAAACAAGATTCTTACATTTTCAAATTTTGACATTATCAACCTTGTTAAACAAAAATGATATGAAGTTTACTGCCAGCTATTACAACATCCATCATCCAGTTTTCAATCATTCATTGTACAAATAATTTTGATTCAGTGGGATCATAAAGGAATAAAATATACATTACTGCATCAAAGGAAAAGACAAAACAATAAACCAGAGCCTTGTCTTGTCTCCCCTCCTCATATTTATCTGCCACCCACGTTCCGGCATGGCAAGACATGCCATCTTACCCATTTTCGGCATGTTGACCACTGTTATAGGGCAACAAAATTTCTTGTTTTGTTTTTCCAAAATCAGGCGAAAATCAATGCGCGCGCTGATGCTACCCATAAAAATTACTTTCTGTGGCCTTAGCATTTAACTGTCAATGCATATCACCACGTAAAGAAGGCAGCCAGCATGCGGACTGCCGGAAGCGGCTGAGACCGGTACGTTACAAATGTCCATCACGTTGGCAGAGATGGACTGCACACTCTCCTGTATCTTGTCTTCAACGGCACGAGAGAAATTCCTTTGCAAACTTTGCCAAAGTGTTCGCAAAAAGTTTCCCATGTGACGCCAAGATTACGCTACTCTTCATATACCTGGACTAAGCGTTAAAACCTCACGACATTTTCTTTCTCCGGGCGAATTTAGATGGAGTAAATCATTCCTGAGTGCTCATCTATAAGAACACATTGACGATAAAGTAAATGTGGTCACTTAAGATATGTAGCACCCAGTATATGTCCCAACCAATATTCATTAAAATCCCTTGTTCGTCACGACAATTGTATCTGTTATGTGTTAGGTGAATGTCCAATTCCACAATATATAAATCATGTGTCATTTATTTTGTTCGTCTTAATAGAGCCGACGTTTGGAGTGTCTATCAGTCTTTCCCCATTGTTGCCACAGGCTAACTCTTCATAGCGCTATGCCTCAACGGATTTGAGTAATCCTAATGTGATAAGAGAAAACAACAACCCTCATCTGCCAAGAGGCACCTTTTCTGTTTATCAACATTGTTTTCTAACTTTTTTTGGAATTCCAATGCATTTTTCTCCATTAGCCAGATAAATTGCACAGTTCTCCATAGACCATCACTCAGTACAATGGCACGATTAAGACATCCTTCCAAAACAAAATTGACGCCCTCAGACAGCCTTGATTCACTGTTATGTCCAATCTCTGTTTACCCCTATGGGAAACGTCCGGTCCTCTTGGGCTCCTCACAAATGGGGAGGCACATCAAAAGTGGCTCAGACAAATCACTCAACAAAGAGATACACGTAAATCCACGTACTTTGCTACAATTCATCACTGATAAACGGAGACTAAAATGGGTGCAATCTATTTGTCATTTTTTTTAGCCTGTCTCTTTTAATCCCGGTTGGTTTTAGTTGGAAAAGACTCCAGGGGTTCTCAACCCAGAAGGACTTCGTGGATATGATACCATGAGCCGCAGGACACTGATTACAGAGAAAAAACGCCACGCTGTTAAGAAAACTTTAAAAGCAGTTAATCCAGGCCGACGTTCTTGAGTAATAAGGGCCTTTCTTAGAAATATGAACTTGGCAACGTTAGGCAATTTATCATTAACCACTTGCTCGGTTTCTTCGAACATTCTCAGCAAGGACACGTCTTGTCACTTCCACTGAAGCAAATCATCCTTTCTTCCTCCATTCACCACCTCTTAGGAGGAAGTTCCACACCTAGAACATCACCATGGAATAAGCTACTACGTGATTGCTTTCCATATGGGTATAACCTTAAACTTTTCATGTCTAAGGTGAACAAACATCTGTCCTCACTGGCTGTACAGTAACCCAAATCATTTGAATGGCTCTCATGAGCCTTGTTTTCTGGTGAATGCTACATATCAGAAAAAGACGTGTTATCCCTATGTTATTCACTATTATCCAGGTAAGCTGGACATCAGCATGTCGTGTTCAATAAAACTTCATACATATTCAAGTATTTCCACAATCCCAATCTGGCTTAGTGAGTCACTATTACTATACACTGTGCAGTGTTCGAAACACCCGCCTGCAGTCTTCATTTTGCAGGGTGATTTTCAAGATTGCAACAGAAAACTCAGTCTGAAAATGTTCATAAAGAAAGAAATCAGGCTCGGATTCAAAAGTTCTCAATTAAATTAAAAAAAATTAACAAACTGAAACCTGCGCCGAACAATATATTATCATATACAAAAACATATAGGCATTAATGATTTTTGAATCATTAATGCCTGTACATTTTTTTCAAAATTTTGAAATCTGTCATCTTGCAGAACACTGAAAATGTAGTTTGATCACTACATAGTATCCATCCATTCTTTTCTCTCGTGTAAAAAAGCATTTGAGCCATTGACCAATATCCCGAATATAACTCACCATCAGAAACCCCAGTACAACGTCATTTTGCCCCCATTTTCTCAACTTGAAGCTCCATCTGACACAGTACCCATCTCTCGTTTATTTCCATTTTAATCTAATCACGTCTAATATTTGCCTGTACCAACTCACCAACTGTTCCATGTCGGAAACGTTTGTGATCAAAACAATGGATCAGACAATTTGTACAGAAAAGTGTCCACTTCATCACCCCGTACAATGACCCGATTCCCGAAATCATGGCCATCGCATTGCCAACAATCTCCATCTAGAACTCCATCCAAATATCCTGTCTGACCTAGATCAGACTGTTATCTCTCCGTGGCCTGCAGACTATGCCGACATCTTTACACCTCCCTCATCGTGTTCGATCTTATCATCCAGTGGTGCAAAGCACACAGGCGACATATGTACTTTCAAGCGGCCCCGGCGTATTTGTTAGAACACCTTTGGGGACACAGAAACACATTTACCACGCACTTTTAAAATAGGTCATCGACGCTTTTAAAGTCAATTTACCGCGTTGTGTGTTTATCGTCAGCATAGGAGCTGGCGTATCCGGACGGACAGGAAGAAACCGTTGTCCATGTCACATCCAATTTGTTTATCTGCTAATCAGTACGATCATCTTTGTTAAACGAGCTGCAACAAAACATTTTTCTCACTTGGCTAGTCAAGTGTGTTTCCTTTTTTTTACCTGAATTGTATAATATATTATCAAAATTTGCTGTAAAATATGCATTTCCTTTTCAGGAAGACACATTATAGCCAAGTCGTCACTTTAACGACTTTCTATGGCCCTTATTATCTTGTCTGAAGGGAGAAAAGTTGTAATTTTACATGAAAAAGACATTTTAGCCGTCAACGCCATTACGTGTTCGGTGATCTGGCTGGAAATATCGTGCATGCCCCAGGCTGGCTGGAGGCCTGCAAATAACCAAGTAACGCATAAGGAAATGTATCACGTTTTCGCCTCTCCAATCGTCTGCAAACTTTTTTTTTACTTTGCGGCGTCGGCTGCAGTCAGAAACATTCGCTACGCCCCGGGACGGATCCGACCGACCGGCGAGCGGCGCGTACGTACGTTAACCTGCCTGGTTTATGCATAATGTATGGCTTCCTAGACGGGGAGACACCGCCCTCTTCGGCAGCAGGTGAACCGTGTGCAGCGGCGTGCAGAGGCACCAACAAAGTGAACAAACATGAGGCAGACGACAGTCGTGCGTGTGAGGTAGGCGGTGGACTCCAACCTGTGGCGCGCGCCTGAGCTACCCGGCCATGACCGCCCCGTTCCAGCTCACCGCCTGCTTGTTACGTCTCGCCCTGGCGGGGCTAGTGTTTGTCTGGTGGAGACCATGCGAGGGAAACGCCTCCAACAACAAGACAGTCTGCGTCCTGTACGAGGCTTCGCCCAACATCAGCTGCCTTCTGGAAGGCTACGACAGGAACTTCAGGCCGAATTTTGGCAGTACGTACTGTGGCATTCTATATAGCGAGATATCTTTAAACTTGGGACAGAATGATCATTACCCAAATGTATGCCGCACTATATATATAATGGTACCTTCCATGTTTTTACACCTGTTCGTTATCATTGAAGCTTCAAATAATCTTTCCCTTGCGTATTTCGGGATCATTTCTTCAGCTGTATCTCACGTACGACTTAAGATTGCTGAGTGAGAAATGCACAGTTTAGAAATGCAAAGAATGTCAGGGTCATAGAAGCTCCCTGCATCCATGCCATATCAGAGCCAGGTTATGAAATACTTTGCAGAAACGTATGTCAAAAAATGTTATTACTTGCTGAATAAATCAGTACTTTTATCTTCTTTTTATGTAGAGGAGGCCCTGGTAATTAACATGAGCATGACCGTGGCCAGCATCGACTCCGTATCAGAGGTGGATCTGGTGAGTACCGCCCGTCTGCTAACTTCTAACAATCACGTAACTGTACTGTCTGTCTCTGGGCAAACGTTTTCCCTGGTCATGGACGGTTAATTGTGGTCCTCGGGGTCCTTATTATATAAAATGATTTATGGCGACAATCCCCCATGAAAGACGGATAAGCCTATGGTATTTCCTGGACGACATCCAGTACGATTGAGGATGGTGTGTTTGAGGACGGTTTCTTGTGTGCTTGGAACAGGTCGGTTTTCGTCGAATTTTAGATTTAGGTAGTAACCATGTTAGATTTTTTTAAATTTCTTGTATTATGCCTATATATACGATTCAATTATGTGACACTATCAGAAACCCGAAAATCCTCTGTAGTGCACTTATTGTACGTGTCCATCATTCTCGTTACTAGTCTGTAAGTCCAATTTACACACAGGCACGAGGATGACGTCAGGAATGTGCCGCTTCGATATGATTCTCACCCTATTGCGGTACTTTGCTCCAGCATGAGCTAAGCCATCGACTCCCCAGTTTGTTGTATGAGCTCCTGACGAGTAGAGATAAAGCCAATCTTGCACTTAGATACGCATTTTCTACCCCATTATTTGACTAGACCCACACGAATGTTCCCGGCATTGCCGCCTCTGATGATAATAATACGGGGGTCATTGGACTCTAAGACCGGTGAGCAGTAATTTCAACCACTTTTGTCGTCACACAAATGCTCGCAACACGACCTCCAGTCTACAATGGATGGAAATGCCATTAATAATTGTATGGATAAGCTATATCTCGTCTCTAAAACCGGCATTGCAAATGTTGAAGGCTTGGAAATAATATGATACATTGAAAGCAAATGTGATGTATGGAAAGCAGAAACCTGAATGATTGTCTCGGGGCCTATCTATAGTGATATCTAATCCTGATCATCTCTGATGTCAAACGCAGTCGATGCATCCATCTATTGAGTTTTCACACCATCTAGATTTCCATGCCGCCGACATATTTTGGCGGCTCCAGGCAAGTTTTGTGAAAGTCTCCATCTTCGACCCGTGTGCAGCCCGGCGTCCTTATCTGTGCCGGCAAATGGCGGGAGTAGGTCAGGCCGGCGCGCGCGGCGGACCTTCGGGCTTCCTTTTGAAACTCCAGCATGAATAATTGGGCCTGCCCTCGTGCTTTTGCTCCTGGAGATGTCATGATATACTGATCTGCTGTCTTCTTAATGCGTTCCCCTTTTCCACTGGTTCAGTTCGAATTGCGTTTGGGCAAACCCATCCAGAGTCGGCTTCTCCAGAGGCAGGTCTAAAGCTTTGAGCAGCGCATTTACCTCTTATCTATTGATGAATCTACTGTTCACCAATCCTCGTACCAAATGACATGTAGCATCAGTAGAATGAAACATAACTGTTCAAAAGAGCGGCCTGACTCTTACACTTTGACCCGTGAGGATCAAATGGCCTTTGACACAACTGTTCAAAGTGGGTCCCTGGAGACGGTCGGTAATAAATGGTTATCACAGAAAAGCCCTGCGGCACAACTGCCGGTTGCTTGTTGTTTCAGCAGCCGATAGACGCAGTGTACATTTTCGCCACTCCAATGCTAACTTTAATCTTAATTGGCAATTTAGGCAAGTCTGCTGGCTTCGGACATATTCAAAATGCGACCTCACATGTTGAATGAGAGGCGAACGCAGTTTGCAGTTTTTGTTTTGTCGGCACCTGTACCTACGCACGTAACTTGGGAAAGTGTACGAGTGTGTGTGTGTGTGTGTGTGTGTGTGTGTGTGTGTGTGTGTGTGTGTGTGTGTGTGTGTGTGTTGCTATGCCAGGGTATCAAAATAAATTTTACGTTTTACCCTTTATTCAAATCATGTTTTCTTGGCTACTTCCGTAAACTTTTATGACATTGATGATAAGGTGATCGTACATACGTACGGTATGGAAGTCGCTGCCCCTTCTCTTTTCTGCACAGCTTTTCCAGGTCTCATGGACCAGGGCGTCCGATTTAGTTGTAAGCCTTTCCCCTGTGCTCAGGTTGATTCTGGAAAGGACAGAAACATGTAGTAGAAATTTTATGACGAAGAGACTCTGACCAACGTTCTGACCAACACTGAGTAAATTGGGACTTACCCAAATTTTCAGCAACCTCTGTCAGCCTTATTTACTGAATGGACCCGTCTATTGCAGAAAGTTCGTTAACTTAAGATTTCTATTGTTGCAGAAAGCTCATGTTGTGTTCATGTACATGGCAGTCAGCCAAGAGTGAAAAGTTTTCACAAAATAAAAAAAGCTTTGGACTTTGGTGGCAGAAAGTGCATATCTCTTGGCATCAGACAGTGAACTTCTGTCCATTCAGGCTAATTTTGTGTGTCGTGGCTCCTTCTAATGAGACCCTAAGGGAAATGGCGGCAGCCAAACCATCAAACGGAGATCCTCCATCACGCCGAATTTCCTTAGCGCATAAGAAGACTGAGTTTGGGGCATGTCAAAAAGTTGAACATGGTATAGCATATAGAGCAACACAGATAGATAGTTTAAACTTGAAACTCTAATTACTAGTATTCGATGATTCAGGCAAGTCTTTATCCTCCACAGTGTTGTCTAGACTTAGCGCTACGACCTCGAAAGACCATAAAACTACATAAAAGATTACATGTTATATAGTGGACGTCATTCAAACATTTACATGTATGTCTATGGCAATCGCCCGAGATCTTTGTTTGCAATCACATACAGAGTCATGTACAGATATATATTCATGCACAAATACATTTACAGTGTACAGATACAGATTTTCCGAGTATGATGGCCGTGTCAGTCCCTACATTCAGACATCTGGGTGGCACATACAGTACAGACCACGCCTGAAAGCAGCTGTCACTTTATTATCGGCGCCAGGGACTCTACGCGTTTCTCGGCGGCGTCTTAATCCCGTGTTCCTTGCTTGGGATTAGCCATAATCCTGCCTGGGTCTCGCATTAAACAAACATCCACTCTATCTGATACAACATGACCGATCTGCACCGTGCATGTTTACCATACACATAATCCCTGACACTTCTCCTGAGGGTTACTCTGCTGGATGCAGACGCCAAACCAGCCACTGATAGTGATCAAACTAGTCTAAGGACCATTTGGTACTGAATATTTATATGTTTCATTTATATGTTTCATTTAGGACCTGCCCGAGGTCGCGTTGATAGCCCTGGTACACTAAGATTGGCACTAAAAGGAATGCAGACTGTCACATAACCTATGCTACCGTTAACATGGCTACAGCTTAACATCTTTAAACAGCAGCATGGAAATTGACACGATGTTGGTGATTGGATGAAAAGTCAACGACAGAAAGCAAAAAAAAACACTATTGAAATCCAAGGCATACCCATGAGTTGTGGCTATATTTTGATGAATCAAAACTGACTAAGACTGCAACTGCCATGTTGGTCTAGAGCATTTGTACGCGTGCTAGAAGCATGAAGGATGAGTGTGAAAGATAGGAAAACAGCAGGGATCTGTTTATACTTGGTGGAAAAACCCGTCTAAACGATTGTTATGGGCTTTGGCCAAGAACGACAGAGATTGACAGAGCGTTCAAGCGTTGAGTTTTTGCCTTCTATTCACGTCTAAAGCAAAAAAAAATGAAATAGGACGCAAACGCTTTGCGATCTCGGCAACGATCTTATATTATATATTGCACGAACTCTCGGAGCAGTTGACGTGGAACTACAGAATGGAACGTTTAGAATTTTAAATTTGCTTCGCATTTCTTGAATTTAGGGGAATTGCTCACGCCACTCCTGTTCACATAACATTTGTTCCACATTTGTTGGCAACAACTAGATGATATGTATGTACCATCGCCGAAAATCGAAAATTCCAATTAAGGACTTTTATTAGATCTTTGAAAAAGGACTTTTTTCGGATGAAGCCTCATGGCAATCCATTTAGACTGTCATGTTCCCTCGATGCCTGGCATATTTAGGAGGATAAATGAGCCATTATGTGCCATACTCCCTGTGGCCTTTGCTATATCCATAAAAATCCCGTGCTCCCGCTGGCCTTAGCAGAAAACGTCAAACAAAAACATGCGTTACAACTGTAGGGATGCAATCTTGGTCCCGCGGATACGGCGGGTTAATGCAAACCCCTGGAATCGCCACTAACCAACCGGTAGAATGTCATGAGTCCCCTGAGTATGGATGCTAGCAGGTTACGAGCAACATCGATGTGTGAAACAATTTTTGGCAAACCCGAGAGCTATAGAGCAGTTTGGCCTGATCTGCAGATGAGGATTAAGATAAATGTAAGCATATAGTACGTAGTGTGTCACTGTGTGAGCGTGCGGAGAACGCTCGGGATGCCGCCATTGGTGACAGCTGCTGCTGCCACACACATTTACTCCCTCTGTTAATCAAGCCACACATATTTACTCTCTCTGTTAATCAGGATAAGAGCAACATTTACATGCTGCCATGCACACGCGCCCTGTTCATCCATGGCAGTAAATCAAAGGATTTGTATAATTTGAATTAACGTGGTTCGAAATAGTGTGTAGCACATCTACAGAACGTAGAGGTTCAGAGACTGACAGACGTAAAGTACTAAATCAGAAGGGTGATTCTGATACTTAAAAAGTTTGTTATTTGGCTGCTGTATTTGCCATCATGAAATGCTCCTATATCATAAAGACAAGATTTACACGTCTCATCAGCAAGATTGCATAGTAGAAGTATCTTCCTAATTACATGAAATAGATCCAAATTTATATCCTCATCAGTCCTAATTGGTTAAACATTGCTTACAATTGGAATCACGGAAATCACAGACGTTCAATCTCGGAAGTTTCTTATGGCAGTTACCTAATCCTTTCTGAGAACAATTAACGCGACTAGGAAATATGTAATTGATCATTTCAAGTTCATGCAATAAACATAAATCTTTATGTGAATGTTGAAATGTTGTTTATCAATTTGAAATTTGATATCAATTGATTTGCATGGAAAACTGAATGGGTCAAAGCTTAGGGATCTTCCAAGAACTTTGTCCATTTTCCGGACAACATCATCGCAGTGAATTTGTTGACGTTCAACACATGATCAAGAAACGATTGCTTTTCATTTTATGCAAGTTAAACTTTAACTTAAAGGAGCATACCTTTGCCAATAAAATGTTTTTCATACATTTTCAGAATCTTCTAAGAACTTTTGTCCTTTTTCCAGACAACATTAACATCGCAGTAAATTTATTGACGTTCAACACATGGTCAAGAAACGATTGCTTTACATTCTATGCACATCTTTTCCAATAAGATTTGTTTTTCTTACATTTGCAGGATTACACCATTACCATCCTTCTGCGGCAGTTCTGGAAGGACCAGAGACTGGCCTACAGGGGGATGAACAGGAGTCTGAGTCTGGACGGCAGACTAGTGGAGGCGCTCTGGGTACCCGATACCTTCCTCCTTAACTCGAAGGAAGCATTTCTCCACAAGGTCACTGTAGACAACAGATTGATACGACTGTTCCCCGATGGGGAGCTCATATACGGCATGAGGTAAGCTTATCCATCTTGTACCGTACCGACACGCCCATTTCTAGGGGTTACTTGTAGGATTACGGCCTACCATCTAACCCATCCGTACGACTCTAGACTGCGTCTCTAAGTTTCAACATGTCTTCACTAAGGCATTATACGATGATGTTTGGCCCCATTAACTTGACTGAAAATACCGTAGGGGATTATTGGGGAGGCAAACATCTGAACCTTGTGCTGGGGGTCGCTTTTATACAGCATAAAACAAAAGCCCACTGCGGTTCTAAAGCTAAGAGATCATATGGCAACTATTATAAGTGGAAATGGGATGTAGTTATTGTGGAACATATGCATAGCCCCTTGCGCTGTTATAACTGCAAAGAGTTATAACTGACCAGTCTATATATATATTTATGTGTGTTTTGAATTTTTTGTGATCCCAAGCAGCTATGACGTACCTAAACATTTGTCAAGCTGCCGTTTTGCAATTCATGCCACCGGACATCATTCGTCATGGCTATCCCCACTGCCCTCCTTAGATAAATTCACAGGGACGTACAACAGATCCCCACCATGCACGGAAACATGCACAAAGAGCCACCCGTAATGTCAAATTTTCGGGAACTAAATTTCGTACAATTTTGTGCGTCCATGGGGGAAGTTCTTAAGTAGCTTTAAGTCCTTAAGAACTTTCTAGCTATAAAAAATTCTTGTCGTGGGTGGATGTTTAAGACGGTGCACTTACCTTAATTCCCTATGTTTGCCTCAAGCAATCTTGTTGCTTTTTCTGTCAGTGTCATGGGAAGATAAACTATTATAGCATACCACATCATTGTTATCTATTCATTGACAAGTAAACCATTATTCGTTCGTAAGACAACTGATCATTTTATTCAAAATTATTTTCTGCCCCAAGTCTGTATTTAACATTGATTAGTATGTCTAGACCATCTGGTATATAATACCCATTGAAACCATTCAACACGTAGGCAGACGTATGGTTTATGTTCCCGGCAGTGAGTACGTGCCGTCAGTGTTCATTTATTTTAAATATCCCAACATATAATCCCAAGACGTGGTGACGGCACACTCAAGTTTTTTCAACTTATATTAATGCCGTCACCAACACAGGGCACAATACAAATTTTCACCTGAGCAAAGTGAGGAAGAGACAAGATCGTTGGCATGTCAGGACTCGAACCCGGGACCGCTTGGTTCCGAGTCGAGCACTCTGTCGCTCGACCCCGTCAGTGTTCTTTGGAATGGAGAGAGGCACAATGGTGTAACGTATGTGTCAACGCCCACTTATCTCTTAATCGCGACCCATTTGAGCTGTGCCGACACGCAGGCAGGTGCCTCTGGGACGCTAAGCAGGTGATTAGCAGCTGTTCCACTGTTCGTCATCCTTGGCTTCCTTTCCCCGCGGCGTACTTAAACTCGTTTTGACTAATTGAAGTTTCTGCAAATAAACCAAGATGCGGAGAGACCGCTGCTGGTTACCGGCTAATAAGCATCCCCTACGGACGGAATGTTACAGCCTACTTCTTTTCACAGAAAAAGTTCGAGCTGTGGTTTCTAAAGTCGGGGATGCCATGATTTAGTCATTGACAAGTTCGATTCAGCGACGTAAAAACAGAGGTACTTTGGACCTAATTGCTTGCGATAGAAAGACAGGACAAGACTCTGGAGGTACATACACACTAGGAACAGGTTAATTCTTTCGTTTTCCACCTCGTTTGAAAGTTCGAGCTGTGGTCGTTGAAGTCAGGGATGTCATGATATAGTCAAACTAGAGTCAGCGACGTAAAAACAGCAGTACTTTGGACCTAATTGCTTGCGATAGAAATACGTGGCAAAGCTTTGGAGATACATACACACTAGGTACAGGTTAAGTGTTTCATTTTCGTTTTCCACCTCGCGTGGATTACGAGGGACAAACATTAAATAAAGTCAATCAATAGCGCGACCATTAACTCAACATGAGATCATACATTCTTACTGACAGAAATGTCAGAGTCCTTGTAACATTCATGATCGTTTCGGTCATATATAATGTCTTTGGTAAGGTCTAACCACGATAGAAAATACTTTTGTGTTCTCATTTGATTCCATAGACGTCTGTTTATTATCTGCATATCAATATGATATGCTCCGATTGTTTTCTCGCCCACTGGTAGTTTTTTTTTTCTTAAAAACATATGAACATGATTAAACGAAATGCTGATACACAGTGACAAAGTTTGCAGTCACAATTTATCACTGGTGACTCTTGATGGACGACTTTCAATTTGACCATGCAGAGATAATCATTATGTAACATATGGTAACTGCTGCTTGAGGGCCGCATTAGATGATACTTCAACCCGGGGATCAACAATTTCCAGAGCATTTACCACAGGAAATGTACCCCTGTGGGGCGGACATATGCATCGGGGATGAAAATAATGTTCTTCACAATACTCAATAGAAAACACACAATCTTTCTCATTTTGACATCAGTTTCAGAATCTTATTCAGGTTGGGAAGTCTCATTGAGAAGAAGCAGCACAAAAATGAGGGAAAAGTTGGATTGCAAACATAGAAGACAATGTTTTAAAAGGCATCCAATGAAGTTTTTAGGGCTTGGAAACCCATTTCTTTAAAGTCAATATTCTAGTCACTTATCTAGTACATACTGATCCCAATGTATATTGACCCTCATGGAGCAAAAATTCCCAAAACTCGGAAATGGTTACTGGAAGGGCCCTAGGCTAATTTTTAGTGTACCACGCATAAAAAGGGACTCATCTTTGGGCTCGTCTCTGTATTTCTTAAAATTACAGATTGAAATGTGCTAATGTGAAGATGTACGTGTTAATATCAAAGATTGCTTTATTCAGAATATTTCTAGTTTTGCTGCTCTGGAATCGCCTTGGATGCCTTTAACAAGATGAAATTAGGAATCATTATCTCTGTTTGACAGCAGCACACCAATTTTGTTTCGTCGGCGTGGGCGTCCGAACGCATAAGTGTCGCACTAGTCTCTCCTGCCAGCCTGGATAGTACTTTATACTATTCATCACCAGGCGTTCTCATTATCCTTTCAGCTCCGGTGGATTATGTGCATGTTGGGTGGCCCCATACTGGAAAACCCCATCTTCATCCACAGACGTAATTTAATGGATGACATCCGCGCGCATTGATTTTTGCCTGTTCTCGAAAAAAAAAAACCTCCGAGTAGGACCTGGCCTAGGTGCCATCGCCCATGGTTTCTAAGTGACAATAGGGGGCCCGTGGTAACTACGTTGTTGTACAAGTAGTCATGTACTACTAATACCACAAATTCACAACACCAGCTTTGTATTCTTGCGGTTTACCAGCATTTTTTTTTGGGGGGGGGGTTTTATCTATTCGCTCGCGCGCACTAGTTTGGGGGCCTTCAAAGGATGTCATCCATACAATCAAGTCAATGTGGCCTAAATGCACTTATGGTAGAATACATCCAATCAATTCTACGATGTAAACTTGAAAAACGTGTCAATAATACTGATCACAAGCCAACATTGATAGCCGAAGTTTTAATTGTTTTAGTTTTCTATACTTATACACTTCGCATCTACAAGCATACATTCTGATCGCTACCTTCTTTTGCAGAATAACATCTGTCCTTGCGTGCAAGATGGACCTGAGAAAATACCCGCTGGATGAGCAGACATGTACCCTGGAGCTGGAAAGCTGTAAGTCTCCATATTTACAAATGGTCTCTGACCTCTGATTTCCCCTATTGGACGGACAATAATTTACAACATCATGTCTTGGTTTTGAGGCTGTAGGCATTATCCATCAAATTTATAATGTCGTAGTCACTCACTTTATCTTCGAGCGAACCTGGCTTATAGATGTATGTTCACCTGACCCCTGATTTCCCATATTTTATATACCATGATTTACAGTATAATGCCCTGTATTGAGATCTAACGCGTGTTATCAAGTATCTGATTTACAGTGTTGTAGTTATCACTCAGTAATGCATCATCAACTGTTTTGACAAGCGTACATTCTTATCTCTCTTGTTTAATAGAGCTGTATGTCTGTATGGTTATTATCGACAAAACTTCCCGGTCATAAAAACAAGCCAAGAGCTAAATCAACCCACCAAAATCCAGATCTAACTGCAACAGCTGTAGGCAAACCCTGAAAATTAGGACATTAGAAACTACTTAATGGTACATGAAGGTATGTGAAGGACGCTTCCCTCATAATTCATGAGAATATCGTACGTACTTTTTTATATTAAGGATGAACATTCTTTTATCGTGTGATACTGACCAATAGAGGCATCGACTAACAGATCTGGCAATGATTTTACCTCGAGTATAACCACATACAGTGAACACCGAATATTGGATAATTTTACGTAGAGGTTTACAATTTATTGTTTCATTATTTGCTTGTCTTTAATGCTATAATAACAAGGTGGTTACTGTCGCTAAACCTGGTCTTTCAGGATTGCTTTGATGGCAACACACAGATTCATTATCAAGAATGCATAGGAAAGAATCTCCAAAATACAATCTTTGGCTCCTGTTTGCTAACTTAAGCCCATGCAAAGTAAGGGGGTGAATTCGTTACACCATTGGTGTTCTTTGACTGTGGCAAAATTCAGCCATTCACTAAACACAGGTGCCTGGACGGGGGAGAATTATACTTATCCTTCGCATCTTTACCTCGACATCGCCCCAGGATTGTACTAAAAGTTACACGAAGTTACATTCGAATCGGCAAGGCCACAGAATGACTTTAAAACAAAGCTAATCAGAGTCGAAATACCTTCGAGAGTTACTATATTACTGAACTACAAGATAACGATAACGCTTTAGATTCCCTGAGGTATCTAACTGCACCCCAGGTGATGTTGCTATTTATAACGGGAAAGAAGATGTAGGAATTTATTTGCACCTTGGCGAACACTGACCGAGTTCAAAACCACTGTTATGAATCAGAAAGAATATTAGGACACGACATTTCACGATGTACCCTAAGGAGTTACTTTGAAATATCCGAGAACCCAAGGAATAAATTGGTCACGGCCTCAAGGATAAACTATAACAGTTACAGTTCAAGCCAGAATTTGGTTTGTATAGTAGAAATGGTAGTCTATCGGCTTCATTTGTATACTTCAAGTAGCTGTTTTTAACCCTGAGTGGTTTGAGGGTTACACTTTTAACAAGTGTGTCTTTTGTTGTCAGCTTTTGATATGTTTGCTTGAGTTTCCTGCTGCCATTTGAATCACCTAAACATGTTGACTCAGAGAACTAAAAATTGTGACTCTAGACCTAGTTGCCTATTGACTTGGAGTCAAAGGTCATCGACATGGCTGCTTGAAGGCCAGATATTATTCCCACCTAATTCTGCCAAGTTGTCCCTCAGATTAAGGAAACTATACATACCTAAAAATCACAAAATAGAGTCACTAAAAAGCTATATTCATGCGAAATATTATGGGGTCAGTTACATACGGTAAGATAAGTCGCAAAAATACCTACGGTGGTCTGAGGGTTAAAGAGGCTAGCCCAACAGCTCTGTACCAGATAGCTGTCAGAAACCGGCGCAGGTGGTTTGAAATGCAAAGAAAAAAGTGAGAAACAAGGAGAAGTCAGGGACATCTTCCCTCCATGGAGGAGGTTGGTGTTGTAAGGTTTTATTTATGTTATCACCTGTATTCATTGTATATGGAAGGTATGTTCAGATGAAGATGAAGAATGGTTAGAAGAAGGCAGATGGGTTTAAATGTAATTTGACGTTATATGGCCATGAATAATGTGGGAGTTGCTTTGTCTTGGTATAATTTTAATATTACTTATTAGCATGTAACTACCAACTCAGCTAAATTTCAAGTGAGGTTTATTACTTATAATTATTTAGAGTTGTATGTTCTGATTTGAAAGAAATAAGTAAAGAAATGAATGAGCAGCCTGCAATGTGTTTGGTATACTTTATTTTATATATATCATGTCATAGCGAATAGTAATGAAGGAATCTTACTCTGATCTCTTTAATTGTGCCAATTCATGAAAACAAAGATGATGGTACATCTGACTATCTTCACTAGGAAGATCATTTACTCTGATTTATTTTTGAAAGGTATAGACAAATTTAAAGAGTCATATAAAAAAAGCTGATAGCAGGAAGTTGATTCAATAACAACACAAACAAACCACACCATTAGCAAGGCCGGCAGGTCAATGACCAAAAAAAAACAGACCAAAGAAATATATAGCCTGTCAAACAGGGATAAAAATACATAGCCTGTGTCTCAACTAGGATTAAACACAGACCACACTACCATAAAATAGGGGTGATAATGTAAAAATCCTTTAAAATAAAGCAATACAAATATACGACAACCTGCTATCATTAACAGCACTAACAGACCTATAATAAAACCAGCCAACCAACCATAGTGAAGAGGTGAGGTCAATGACCTCTCAAGCACCCCACTCTGTCTAGGGGTAAAAATAGATTGGGCTGTCTCAGCCTGACCTGCCAGCTGGAGGTATATAAACAAAAACACTCTAGATCTGTCCCAACTTTTGGGTCAAACAGACCATCCTATTATGAAGTAGGGGTGAAAAAATGAAAATCCTTTTAAATTAAGCAATAAAAATACACGACAACCTGCTAATGCACTCTAAAACGCAAAGAGACTCAACAACTACCCACATACCAAATATTATACCAAACGACCCACCAGATTTTCCAAACATTCAACACAAAAAGACCAACTTTAAACATATTGTAAATATCAAACGCAAACAGCTAGGAAGCCCAAATTTAAACCACTGAACCATGGTAATAACAACTACATGCTACCTTAATATCGCACAAACAGTCCATAACGCGCAAACAACAGAATAAAAAAATTAAACTGCAGTACCAAGGTCAATCACCAGGGGCTCAAAGTCAACCTACACAATCTCCAAGGCCCCATCCATCAATCTGCCAAATATCGTACAGTTCCTTCTCACCGATCTTCGGATATCAGACCAAACATGAAACAGAGTAAAAACAATACCCCCATTTTCATGGAGGGTAATTATTGTCGGCAGGAGAAATGATATGATTTCCTGGCACTTTATGTTCGTTACTGCATGCAGGCTGTCTTGGCATCCATCACGTATAGGTCAAGTACACAGAACTTGCTCAGGGGACGAGACTGTCTTATCAGCTCGCACATCTCAAACCCTTCACACGCAGACTTCTTATTTACATAGAACACAGATCACAGCCGCTGGGCGGGCGTTGTAGGCTTAAATGGGCAGAAATGGTCACATTTTTCCAGGCCGGAGATACCCAGAAGCTAGCAGTTTGGTTTGAATAACAATGACGTTCAAGAGTTGCAGAGCTAGCATCTTTCGTTTGCTGTGTCAAGCGGTTCTTCTGAAAAAAAAAGGTTAAATTCACGCAAATGCCATGAGGTTGAAAATGCACCATCAAGGCACAATTGAAAAAAATATCTCTCTTAACTGGTCAATACACTCTACCTAGTATCTGTTTGTACATTTTCAAAAAAAACTTACTTTTGAACAAACGCCGCTTTGCATAATACAAAACGTGATCATGTAACAAAAATCTGGTTTGCACCTGAGTTTATCGTGGTTTCATATGCAGGCGAAGATAATTCGACTTCCTTCGATTTTGGTAACTGCATCGATTTAGATGTCATTGCGCGACAGCTTTGATCCATGTCTGTCAGGTTTCCAGTCACAGATTCTACTGATATGAACAAGAGAAGCCCTTATCGAAGTGCTAATATTGATGTACCTATCTTATATCATGTATTATGTACACAATACAGTGATAGATAAGCATTTGACGGTGACATAACTAAAACTCAAGCAACTGCTACAACAGTTGTGTCCGTGAAAGGTCACCAGAACCTAAGGCATTTTAGTTTCCGACTGGAGTAGAGGCTAGGTGTGATTCTGACCACGTATACACCGTGTCCTATCGCTCACTCCCATCGAATGCTCACATTTCAAAGCCATAAATCAGTTCCTATCGAAGTCCAAATGTCATTTCCACATGATCGATTGCAGAAAGCTTTCTCATGGTTTGTTGCTAATCCCAGAAACAATGACCTTGGTGCAGACAGTGTGTGCATTAGACCCCTAATGGCGGGAAGAAATGTTCGGAACTGAGGACACGCCACTCCGCATTTCCGCTGGCAGAGCCCCACTCTAGATGTGTATTTGTCAAATACATGTTATCCATACTATGTATCCTCAGGGAAGAAGTTTGTATTCCGATATCAGGGGAACGATTTTCCTTCTTTTACTACTCTAATATTTGATACACGTCACATTTAAGCTTTGACAGATGCACGTTCTGTAATGTTTACAGAAGGAAAACGTATTCTTTTTGCTACATTTCCTCTTCTTCTTCTCCAAACCAAAAAGGTCAATGACCTGCTGAAACAGAGTTACCATGGTAACTAGACTAAGTGTTGGGTTATATCATGTTGCAATTTTGTAGCAGGAAGGATTTAGACTCCTGTCTGACCATATGAGGAATGTGTTTGAGGTTTGAATGAGAATTAACAGAGCAGACTGTATTCAAAGGTAAATATTATGGATATGCTTTGCAAATGTTATCTTTCTAGCTGAAAGCCCGATTAGCCTCAAAGATACCAGACAGACAACTATCAATAGTAGAAATATATTGAGTTTAAGAATAT